AACAGAAAGTAACTAGGACAAGCACCCCAGGGAATATATAGGGGCACTACCAGCCTCTGTTCCATTGGCCAAATGCCCATTCTCTCTTGTCTCTGGTCAGTAAATCACACAGCTCTGCTTACAGGCCAGATGTGAAAACAAAACATAACTATGAGGAGAAATTAAATGCGTAGTGTTGACATTCATAAACAAGTGAGTGGTGTCACTATTTTACGGGGCCTCCATGTGCACTCTTACACCTGAACACTCTACATGTTGACCCTCTGCCTTCTATGATTTCTAGAAAATGCCACTCCATCCTCCAAAGTTCAGCTCCAGCTTTCATTCTTCCGCTGTGCCCCTCCTCATCCTCTCAGTCACATTAACAACTGCTAACAGCAGGGTATGCTGGTAGTATCATTGTGTGATATCAGGCCTCCTTATGTGCTTATTGCTCCTGCAACTGAACACTACAATTACCATCTCCAGTAGGAGATGAGATACTTAGCACAGAGCAGTTAAGTCACTTGGTTCCAGGCCAGTCTTCTAGACCTGTCCTTTAAAAATAGTTTTATTAATTGAGAATTTCATACAATATATTTTGATCATATTCACCCCCTAACTTCATCCAAATCCACCTATTCCCTATTCCCTACCAAATTTGTTCTCTCTTTTCTTTTATTCTTCCATTATTTTTTAAAAACTTATTTATTGTTTTTATTTTATGTATATGAATGTATTGCCTGCATGCATGTAAGTGCACCTGTGCCATGCAATGCCCATGGGGGTCAAAAGAAGGTGTTGGATTCCCTGGAACTGAAGTTACAGTTGTTAGCTGCCATGTGGATGAATCAACCCAGGTCCTCTGCAAGAGCAACCAGTGCTTTTAAATGCTGAGCCATCTCTCAGAAGCACCCCAGAGCATCATTTTTGTAATAACCCACGAACTCCAGTTTGTGCTGCTCATATACTTCTGGGTATGGGCCATGCACTGCAATGTGGTGGTCGACCTACCAGAAATCACACCCTTAAAGAAAACTGACCCTCCCTCCCTCAGAAACCATTAATTGGCCATAGCTCTTCAGTTACGGGTGGGAGCTCATGAACTCCATCCAACTTTTCCCACTCCATGCTAGGATGCTGACTTGTTTGATCTTGTGCAGGCAACTACAGCTGCTATGAATTCTGCTGTTATAAGTGCAGCAGCCTGTCATGTCCAGAAGACAGTGTTTCACTTCCATTCTCCTTGACCTCTGGCTCTTACAATCTTTCTATCCCCTCTTTCATGAAGATCCCTGAACCTTAGGGGGAGGAGTATGTGATATAGATAACCTGTTTGTGGCTGGGTGCTCCGCTGAAATTTATTCTCTGCACTTTGGCTGGTTCTGAGTTTCTGCATTAATCACGGTCCACTGCACAAAGAAATTTCTTTGATGAGGCCTGAGAGCTGCACTAACTGTGGATATACAGACATGAATTTAGAAAGCAGTTTCTTACTTATGTCCATTTATCAGAATAATAGTACCAGGTTCACTCCTGGGACCTGTGAGTTCCCCACCCACAGGTTCTTGGCTAGATTTACTATACCAGGCAAATGCTTCCTCTTGTGAAGTAGCCCATAGATTTCAGTCAAAACATGGTTGATTACCCCTATAACTTTTATGCCACTGTTGAACCCATGGGCATATCTTGCCACACTGGCCATTATTACAGTTCACAGGGTTCACAACTGGGTAAGACTGTTGATGACTTTCCCACCCTCCACCCTGCCCCATCCCAGCAGCCTCCATAGCACCTTCTGGAATTGTGAGTGTTAGCAAGCAGAGAGGATCCTGGACATACCAACTTGATTGTTTCATGTCATGTGACCAATGTATGTGGCATCATAGTTTTACCATTAAGTTCTGGTGCTGCTGTTCTTAGCCACCACATAGACAGCTTTTCTGAATGGAGTGCAAAATGGAGCTGAAGATCTAAGTCCTAGGGATATTTCAGTTTTTGGAAGGTCTCATGCCAAGCTTGAATATGTCATCCGTTGAGAATCTTAAGTAGTTAAAACATAAGATTTGGGCTTTAGAAAGATCACTCTGTTTGTAATGTGTATGATGAAATGGAAAAGGAGAGCCTGAGATGAGAGAAGCAAGAGTCAAGGGGCTGCTGAAATGATCAGGTAAAAGGTCATGAAACTACAATTATATTAAGAAACCTCTTCTCTGAGCCAAAGCCTACCTCCTAGCACCTGCTGCTCCCCACCACTCAGCGCAGAGTGTTCATGCCCCAGGCTAGGGGAGCATGTGGCTGAAATGAGTCTTAGTTTTGGGTGTGCCTTTTTCTCACTTACACAAAAAAGTCATAAGGAACCCAGCATGATGGCACACTCCTTTAATCCCTGCACTCTGGAGGCAGAGATAGATGGATCTCTGTGAGTTGGAGGTCGTCTGGTCTATATAGCAAGTTCCAGGTGAGCCAGGGCTACATACTGAGACCTATCTCAAAAACAACATAATATAACCAGTGGGCCTTGACAGGGACAACTGAGTATATGGGCTCAAGTGGGAACGGGGAGCTGTGGAAGGGTGCTAGTGGAGACAGGGACATAAAGATGACTAAAAATAAAAAGTAAAAAACAAAACAAGAACAAGAAAAGAAGTCATAAGGACTCTCTACTTCTGATGTTTAAAACAACTCTTTTTATTTGTAATTATATCATTTTTTTCTACTGTGTTTTGCATATTTCATTTTCTTGGCTGAGGAATCCCTCCCTCCTTCCCTTCCTTCCTTCCTTCCTTCCTTCCTGGATCTCTCTGCGGCCCAAACTGGCCTACAGCTCATCATGTAGATTAGGCTGGCCTCAGCCTCACAGAACTCCTCCTGTTTCTGCCTTCCAATTTTTTTTTAAGATA